TGATTGCTAGCTGCCGTTGGGCAGTTCACATCTCTCTGGCTCAAAGTTGACTCAGTCTTCCATCCTTCTGAGGCCAGTAAAATAAGGACCCAGATGGTTGTGGGCAATAGGCTGACTCTGTAAACCACTTAGAGAGGACTGTAAAATCACTGTGTCAAAACTAAGTGTCAGGTTCCGTTCAGGCAAAGAAAACAAACAAGATGACCAGGCAGGTAGTTCATGGTAAATGTAATCTTTATAAGCTGTTCCAATACTTCCAACAAACACACAGTGCAAAACACGAGTGAATTAAAGTCAAGCCTGTAATTCCATACTTTCCTCCACCATTTAAACCCTCCTGTCCCCCACCCTCCTGTACCCCGCCCTCTCCTATGCATGCGCAATACACCCAAGATACTCCAATGACGTGACAGACCATGCTGATTTACATTGCCATGCCTGTGCTGGTGCCGTTCCGTATGAAAGTCACTGCAGGATCCGGAGGTCCTTCAAGTTCTTGGCGCGGCAGGGAAACAAGTGTGGCACAGCAGCAATCCAAGTCACGAGACACCCCAGTCACAAATCTCCCCACCAACGGAAAGGCAGCTCTGAGCCACTGAGTACACCGGGACTGACATTAAGAGCCAAAATCTTAAGATTTATCTTCTATTTCTATTTAAGTAGATTAATGAATGACTGAATGACTACAACTGAATGCAGGGCTGGGTTTTAAATTTTTTTACTACTGGTTCGGTAGGTGTGGCTAGATGGGGGACATGTGACTGAGTGGGCATGGGCAACTTGGCATCACTTATGCACACTCAGTCACATCACCCCCGTCACCAAACCATGCCCACTGAAACTGGGGCAAAAAGTTTTGAGGGGGGGGGGGGCTCCAGCTAGCCAGAGCTAAGGGAGCACCTGCAAACTACCCAGTAAGAAAAAAAAGTTTTTGTCCTCCCCGGCCTCCAGGAACACTCTTCAGGCTTCAGCAGGGATGGGGGAAGGCAAAAACGAGGGCATTGCAGAGTGCTTCTGGAGGCTGGGAGAAGGCAAAAACGCCTCAGTTTTTGCGAAAAACAGCCCATCTCTGGGACCTCTCTAGGATTGGCATGTGCACGCCATTAAAGAAAAGGGGGGAAATTACATTTTTTCAATGAAGATTGTTTTGCGCATGTGCAGAACAGAAAATAAAGATGGCGGTGCCCAGGATAGAACTGGTACAGTCATGTGTCCGGCCGAGTTACTATCTATTCGGCTGAACCAGTAGGAAGCCACCTGTGACTGAATGACTACTCAGGGGTGGGTTGCTACCAGCATTACTGCCGGTTCACAAAAAACCCTTAACCCTGCCATACTACCACCTCTTACAATACTAAACAACACAGTAGAGACCTTCAAATTTCTAGGTTCTATCATATCTCAAGACCTAAAATGGACACCTAACATCAAAAACATCATTAAAAAAGCCAAACAAAGAATTTTCTTTCTGCGCCAACTCAGGAAGCTCAAACTTCCTCAAATAATCGNTTTTGAACCATTGTTGCAGTAAGGCTCTTCTAATTAAATGATTTTGAAAGTATTTGTGCGTTTTATTTTTGTCATCCCATAAGAAAGTATGCCAGGCGCCTGTCTGCAGGTCATGGCCTTCTAAGATCAGAATTATTTTATTCTTTAGCTATATCCAGTCCTTCACCATTGTGATTGTTACTGCAGATGCAGTTTGCTCTTATTAATATACAGTGGATTTCCCTATCAGTGGCAGTGGGAATGTTGATTTCTTCTTGGTAGTTTTTTTATTAGGCTGTTGTTTCCTGTTTGATTGTTGATCCGATGTTAATCCTGGTGTTAATTCATGTTTATTTGGGCATTGATTGCTGGCAAGGAGGTGTTCTGATCTTTTTGTTTGCTTTTTAACTATTTCCTTCTCTCTTGAGTAGCGTGTAAATGTTTATGTGCCTATTGAAGTCTGAATTGTCTTGAGTGCCAGGGTTCCATGAATTTCCTAGCATTTTTAGACTTAGCTTAATGTGAGATCCTCACAGTTTCCCAGTGGAAAGTATAGTTATGTGATGTGTTGTAAAATTCAGGAGCTTTCATCATGTCTTCTGTTAGTTGGTGTTCATGTTCTGCTAGTCTTTTGCCTGTCTGTCCTACATAGTAACTGTTGCGGACTTTACACCATTTTTGTAGATGATTCCTTTTTTATTCTTTTGGCTATTGGGTCTTTTAGTTTACTTAAGATGTTTTGGAAAGCTTTATTGATTTGTGTGCTATTATAATGCTGTAGTATTGTATAATATTATGTTAGTTGATTCTGAGATGTTTTTGATGTATAGCAGTATTATGTTTTTGATAGCTTCTGTTAATTGCACTGTAGTGGGTTGAATGGTCATAACCTTTTGATAAAGTTGCATGTGAATTCATTTGATTGGAAGATGTATAGGCAATCTGCTTCCATTTTCTGGGTGTTCAGGGTTGCTACAATGTGTTTGTGCGAAATATGTTTTTACACAACTTCTTTTGTGGGAGGTTGGGTTGTTACTCTGATAAGTGAATACTAGGTTCTTGTGGGCGGTTTTATGATAGACTTGTGTTTCTAATTTGCCACTGTTTTCTCTACTGATGAGGATATCCAAGAACAGGGGTGTGTTGTTGTTTTTGTCTTTTCTTGTAAATGTTATTCTTTTGAAAATGTTGATTGTTTCATGTTATTCCTTTTTTATTATGACAAAACTGTCATGTACATACCGGATCCATACCTTAGATAGAATGCGTGGGAGTACTATAATTTCTATAGATTATAGTCTGCTATGTACTGAGAGGTTAATCACATATGTATTCCTTTAATTTGTGGTAAGGCAGAGGGAGTAAGGCAGAGGTTGATGAGGTCCATGATCAGGTATGTTGTATAGTAGTATGCTGCCATGGTTTTTTTTTTTTTTTTTGCTAGTTCTGGGTCTGTGGATATAAAGAGTGCTGTTACATCGAATGAAACCATAATCTCATCTTTGATTTTATTGAAACATTGTAGTGGGGAGTTGATATTACAATATATTCTCTCCCCTAGTGAGATGTTCAAGCTTTCTTGTCAGTTCTTTAGCTATGTTGTAGGTTGGGTTTCACAGTAATGATACAATTGGACCAAGAAATATGTCAGGGTTAGGGTTATTTTGGGGCACCTATGGGACTGTGGGAGGATGGGTCCACTGCTAATGAGATGGGATGAGTCCACCAACTGATTGATCCACTGACTAATGACTGGAGAAAATTAGCAATCTATTAACAATCTAAGAGCAGTGGCACAGTGGTTAGAATGCAGTACTGCAGGTTACTTCAGTTGATTGCTAGCTGCCGTTGGGCAGTTCACA